TTTCAGTGTTCACAATTAAAAATTAAAGTGAATACTGAATGTATTCTGCTTTCAAGCCTGTCAGTGTATCACTGGGGAAATGTGTATAACCTCATTTCAAAACAAGGCTAAATGTATAGCCTGTTATGAATGTCAATTATAGCCAATGAGTTATCTTTCCTTTTATCATCTCCTGCTCATATTCAGAGATAAGTTAAATTTTCTCTGAGAGAAAGAGAAAATACATTAAACAGACAAATAAAGACACATAAAAAAAGAAGAGAAAGAAGGAAAATAAGAAGATAATACAAGGTATGATGATCTATTATGGATTTATAAGCAGAAAACTTGATAGAAATTAATAAAATAATACTTATTAAGTGACAATTGAAGTCCCTGGTACTGTTGATGGCATGAAATAAAAGGACCATTTTTGCTCCTTAGTCTCAAATAGCTTCAAGCAAGAGAGATAAAGCAAACGTGTTTCAAGCAGAGGTCAGGGCTAAATTCTGTGATACTAACTATATATAAAATAAGATTTGGGAGAAATAAGAGGTTAATACTGTTGACTGAGTTTCTCCATTTATACAATAGGATGCAATAATAGAGTCTATATTGTAGTATCATTTAAATATTACTGATAAAGAATTCAGCCAAGCGCTTGACAGAGTAAGCATCTATTAATATTGCTTATTAATTCATCAAAATTTATAAAAGATATAAAGGTCCTGGATAAATGAAACAAAGGCTATCAAATTTTACATAAGATGCATAAATTATAGTATGTTATATTATTTATTAGTTACTAAATTATCAACGGGATAAAAGATACATAATTTTTCAAGGTTATGACTAAACTGACCATCTTTGTTGCTAGTGATAAAAGCATATACACTCCTTGAGTAGGCAATATGGCAATGCATACTAAGATTAATTTAAAATGGTCATATGATTCAATCAAGTAATCCAGGCTTAGCATTTGTCTTTAGAAAATATAAAAGTAGGCCAGGTGCCATAGTTCACACCTGTAATTCCAACACATTGTAAGGTCAAGGTGGGTGAATCTCTTGAGCCCAGGGGTTCCAGACCATTCTGAGCAGCATGGTGAGACCCAGGTCTCTACTAAAAATTAAAAAATAAATAAATAAAATTAAATTTAAAAAGCTGGGTGCGGTACCCATTTAACCCCGCATAAGGTGAGTGGATGGGTGGGGGTGGAGAAGGCTGGCACCACTGCACTCCAGCCTGGGTGGCACAGTGAGATCCTGTCTCAAGAGACAGACAAAAATATAAAAGAAAAATTGACAAGCAATAGGAGAATTATTGCAATGATAAATTTTAATATAAAACTAGACTCAGCTTAAAAATCAAGTAAAAAAAGAGGTAGGGATGATTTGGCATATTATATCCCATCAACATAATGGGATATCATGTTCTTAAACATGGTGATTACATATACAATGTTCAATTTGTAAAGTATTTACCATAAAAACAAAATAAGCCCCATAAACTTGGAGGGATTACGTACAACATGTAAAATTGACAAAGCATTATTATCTCAAATATACTATGAGTTTCCTCAAATTACTGAATAAAAAATCAGGAAATTCAATAGAAAATAGTCAAAGTTTATGAATAGAATCAGAATGCAGAATCTGAATGGCTCTAAAGAGATAAAGTGATCCTCAACTTCAATACCTATTAGTGAAACACAAATAAAAGCAACATTAAGGTAATGTTCTATGGATAATTAGATTGGATAATGCTTCTGCTGATAAAATTGTGGAAAATAGAATCCCTTCTATATTTTACATTGAACTGGTGTGAATTGGTGCACTCATTCAGGAGAAAGTGTGGCAACAGTAACCAGTAGATTTACAAATGTGTGTGACTTATCACTGAGCAACCCTATATTCCTGGAAATATTCCCCTGAGAAAATTCCTAACAGGTTCAAAGGAAACATATATGTGTGATTTATTGAAATGTTGTTTGGAATGAAAGGAGTTAGAGGCAACTTAGATGTCCACAGCTGGGAGATAGGGTAAGTAAAAATTCATATACAGTCATGCTTCAATTAATGATGAGGATATATTCTGAGAAGTGTGTCATTAGGTGATTGTGTCACTGTGCAAACATCATAGAGTGTACTTATACAAATCTACATGGTAAAGCCTACCACACACTAGGTTATATGGCATAGCCTATTGCTTCTAGGCTACAAACCTGTACAGCATGTTACTGTACTGAATATTGTAGGCAATTGTAACATAGTGGTAAGTATTTGTGTATCTAAACATATCTAACCACAGAGAAGGTACAGTAGGCATCAGTTTTATAATCTTATGGGACTACAGCTGTATATGCTGTCCATCACTGATCAAAATGCCACCATGTGGCACATGACTATACATAAACGATGGCAAAGCGGCCAGCCATTGGAAGAAATTAACTAGATTTAAAGACGTTCATGCACTGCATAAAAATGTTTTAATCCACAATGGATGACATATAGATAGTAGTCCTATGAGATTGTAATGAAGCTGAAAAATTCCTATTACCTAGTGACATGGTATTCTTCATAACGTCATAGCGGAATGCATGACCGTTTCCATGTCTAGGTATGTTTAGATACACAAATACCATTATGTTACAATTGCCTACAGTATTCAGCACAGAAACATGCTGTAAATGTTTGTAGCCTAGGAGCAATAGGTTATATCATGTACCATCTAGGCTTATGTAAGTACACTCTATGATGCTCACATGATGATTAAATCACCTAAGGATGCATCTCTCAGGACATATCTCCCTCATTAAGAGAGGCATGTCTGTATAGCACCATAGAAAGCTGTCCAAGAGCTATCATGGAATGAAAGTAGTAAGAAACATAATAAGGTTTATGATACAAAAATATTTATGCTATATAGAACACACTCACACGTACACAACTATACACTATTTTTTTGAATGCCGCATATACAGCTAAATATAGACATATATGGAGAATGAGTTTGATAAACACACATTAAAATGAATGTCTACAGGGGATTGAAGCAAGGATTGGAGACTGAAAATAAAATAAAACCAGCTAGGGCTCTTGCCTAGAATGATGATAGCACAAGGCCACAAACTTAAGGATACAATCAACTCAATTCTGTGCACCTGGGGTAACAACAACCGCAACAACAAAATAAAAAGGAAAACTAAAACATATAACTTTAAGTGGAAAAGGCTGAAAGAATGCATAATGGTATGCAAAGTGAAATAATAAAACAGAGTACAAACACATGTTTATATGAATTTAACTGTAACACGGAAATTGTACACAAACAGGAAAGTAACAGCAAACAGAACAAAAACACAAAGTATACAGATTGATCAAAACTACCTAACAACGTATTCATGTGAGTTGGCTGGGGGAAGGGACCTGCTCTTCTTCTCTTCCTCCTCTTAACACTGCCTTCTACATGTTATAAGGTTGGTTTATGGAGGGGTTATGGGTAAGGATACTTTACAAAACCACACAGTAGAACCTCCTTCAGCTTTCTTGAAATTATTTCTTTTAGGATCTCCCCTACTTCCTTGCATGAGGCTGGAGGGTGGAACTGACCAACACTGTCACCTCTATTCTCCTGAACTGACTAACTTAGATAATTTTGAAGAAATTCTTTATTCCACATGGCTGGTGAGGGAAGAAAGGGTCATGACGTACTCATCTTGGGGAGAGGCATCATTGTACCCTCCACACTCCTTCTTGAATTGATAAGGTCATGATAAGGTTTAGGGGAAAGGAGAGCACTCAAGCTGGGCTACTCAAGATTTCCTCCTGTAGTTCCTTCAGAACCCGATTCTCTAAGCCCGATTCACCACTGGGGAAGGGACTAGCCAAGTCTCCTAAAGCAACCTTGAATTTGATCTTGTCTCCTGTGCATCTGTCTCCTGAACCCATCAAGGGAGGGTGGCTGCAGGGCCACTCCAGAAAAATAGTCCAGGCAAAGATTTAAGGCCCCGTCTACTATCCCAGAATAAGACACAATACGGAGAGAAAATAGAGCTTGTTATTTACAACCGAAATAGCTATTTTAAGTGGCGAAATTATGGATGATTCCCCCCCAACCAATTTTACTTTGTTTAAATAAATATATAGAAAATTCATTATAGCCACCAAACAAAAGCAGACTTTATTCTCTAGTGTTGACCAGAGTGTCATTCTAGTAATGAATTGTATTATACAACTAACAGGTGTCCCATTGTGTAGCTAATTAGCACATTTATCCTATATAATTTTAATTGTTAGTAATACATTTAAGAGTAAATGCCTTGCATCTCTCAATTTGAGCATTTTCTACAAATTTCGTAGCTTGCATATCACCCAGCACAAAGCTAAGTATGTAACAGAACCAATATGAGAAATAGAAAAAAGTCTAAAATGGAGGTGATTATTTCTAAACATACTGTATATACAACACAATTATCATCTTTCTTTACCCTCCTATGAACCATACTTTTTTTCTTCCAGATTTTTGTTGCTGTTGTTGTTGTCCGAAGAGTTCTTATTCCCTTTTCAAATTTGTCTCACCTCTGTATATGTTACTTTCATTTTATCAATTTCTATTTTGAGTTACAAAAGTGGTTCAAATCCTCCATCCCTCAAGAAATTACTCTCACAAGGTATTGTACGGAGACTTTCATATATTGCAAATGAATGCATTCATTCTCTAATCTTTCAGTCACAGAAATCACAATCCATTATCTTAATTATTTCTAGTGTATTATTAGTTCAAGTCCAAGGAGGACAAAAAGCACCTCATTTATATGTTCTGTTCAACAATATAGAATGTAGTTCCTTTCTTTAACAACTGTAATTACATTGAAAATAATGTTGATCATAGTGGTAGCAGAGGAGACTGTTCTAGTCTGGTACCATAGGGCCTTGCATCCCAAACAATAACAGTGGCACAAGTTGAGCATATGAAGAACCAGCATAGTTATATAAAAGTGAATTAAAGAATTTTGTTACCTTAGTTTCTTTCCTCCATCTGCAATTTTAGCTTTTTGCAGATAACCTTCTTTTTCAACCATCTGCAAGAAGAACGCATATGTTAAAACTGTGACAAACTACTATGCATTGTTGGTTTGAATAAACCTATGCTTTTCAAGAGTCATTGCAGTGATGGAAGTTTTCAGTCATAGAACTTTATTAATAATGCATGTATAGCTTATGGGAACTGCCTGCAAACTCATAGCCATTACAAGCTGTTACATATCTAAAGGACAGATTACGAAGAGGAATGTGAATGATTTGTTAGATAGTGATACACCTTTATTGACTTTGCTTTCTGGGCATTGAAGTCACTTGCTTAAAAAATTGATTACAAATGGTAAAAGAAAGACAAATTGAAAGACTTCGTTTATTTTACCAAGTATTCTTAGAAAAGTTCTTCTTCTCAAGCCTCCCCGTGTACCTTCTGAAGCCAGGATAAAGGAAGACCTCAGTGGGACCAGGTGACTGAGCTAGTTGAATTATGAAGGGCATTTAAAATAGCAACATTTCATATATTCTGGTCAATTGCCAAGAGACCCTGTAGTAGCAGTATCTCATTGTCTTCTTCCATGATGTAGGATTGCTTCCTTTTACTATTTGCATATACTGTATTGGCTTTCATTTCTAATAGAGCTGCAAGTTTCTTAAAGGAAATTCAACAAGTCATTATAACTCTGCAGAAGTGTTTGTGGAGTTTTTGGCAAAATAAATTTGCACAATGCAAATTGTGATGTGTTGACTCCCTCCAAAGTCTATACTAGGTATTTTAATTTCTTAGCATCCTATTTCTACCCTCCTCTGTCTGCCTCACATGCCCCATCCCAAGTCATTAGCCTTCATCTTTCACTCTTAGTGAATTGCTCACACCCTTCACCCTGACCTGCCTAGTGTCAGAGGACCACGCTCCCTCAGTGCTACCCCGTGTTATCTCCCCAGCTGAAATAGTCCACCATGACCATGTCTTCATCTCACAAAAGTCTTAAGTATATTTAATCTACTTCAAAATTCAATTAGTAAAACCCGGTGCGGTGGCAAGTGCCTATAATCACAGCTACGTGGGAGGTTGGGGTGGGAGAATCCGTTGGTCCTAAGAGTTTGACACCAGCCTGGGCAGCAGAGCAAGAACCCCATCTCAAAAAATAAACAAGCAGAAAACCAAATTTTAATGTGTATTTTTTTTTATTAGAGGATCTTTCCATGATTTCTCTTACATCTCTTTTAGGTGCACCATCCTGAATCTCCATTTTCATTTTGCCATTATCACTGTGACAGCACATATGAGATCATGTTGTCAATGTCTGCTTATTTGTCTGTGCTTGCACGCAAATGATGTGCCATGAGTCCATCAAAGGCAAAAAACTGTGTACCTTTTACCTGCATTCCTAGCTTCTGGAATATTTTGGTAGTACCAATAGTCAAAACAATAAAATTGTTTGAACTAATAAGTAAATGAATGAATATTTAAATGTTTATTTAAATATTTATAGTAAACTGGGCAAGCCAAAAAATTTATCTTCAATATTACAAGTGAAAGGAAGAGATATTTAGAGGTAAACGAGTTGTTCCAAATCACTAAAATCTCACTGGTTAAATGTCTACTCTGACATAGGTGAGAGTTTTTCTGCCTTGTTTTATTCCTAATACATAGCACAGGACTTAGTTTTAAAATGCATTTGATGAATACATTTTTGACTAAATAAATAATGATAGAGATAATAATGATGATTTATGCAAAAGATAGCAAAGTGTTGTTTACTTATCTCCATATCCAGAAAGTTTCTTTTACTTCACCATGCTTTCCACAAGTCTAAAGCATCTAAGGAAGCTTTCTTGGATAATTTTGAGAACCATGGTATTCACTGGTGCCTTTTTGTTTTTGTATTTGTATACATCTATTCATTTGCTTTTTCCACATTTTATTCTATGTATCTGTCCCTTTTTCTTGATGCCAGGGAATTTTATTTGTCTACCTCGTAAAACCCATATAATAAATTTAGTGTTTAACTCTGGGTATCATTGGTATCCACAAATGTTTGGAAGAAAGATGTTTTCAATAGCAATTAGCACCACAGAGGAGGTCCCTTTCTTTAGGAATGCGTACTGAGAAATTTTGTTGCGTAACCATAGAGAAATGTATTGTTTTATTTAAGCTTTCTTCTGATTAACAGTTACCCCCAAACCTGGATTTTATCTACCAAAAAACAACAAAATCTATCAACCCATCATAAAAATTGATGCATGCGTTCTCAGCTAAAAATATAGCCCCAATTGTTTTTTCCAAAAATTCACAAAAGACCCCTCGGTAGACATTTGCTACCCACAAAGATAAATTATTGATGAAAATTTCTCTAAAAGACATAGGAAATGTGAAAGGAAAAAGTTAATACTCTTATTAATACTCTTATAGGGAGAAATCAACATAAACAGGTTTAAGGTATACATAATAGAATTCTCTTTCCTTGAATACATAAGTAATATTTCCTCAGACACTGCAGGACTTTTCCCAGAATACTTGAGATTGATGCCAAGGGCTGGATTTCTCAAGTTAAGACTCAATAAATGTGACATGATTGTCATCAATGACTGAGTCAGTTCCATGGTCTTGGATCAATGCAATAGACTTTTCAGGATTGACCATACAGAGGTCCCAGGAAAAATGAGGAAGAACCGAATAGCAAGTTAGTTACTTCTCTTATATCATTTTCCAAAGTCCAGGCTGCCTTCCACGTCATTAGAAGAAGCTAATAATGCTTCTGCTATGTTCTATTTCCTACTACACTTGCTACCACCATGCATATTTGTTAAATGCTTACATGCACATTTCTACATGTAGTATATCTATGTCCTACCACTATGCACACATTCTCACTTCAGAGATCAGGTGTTTAGTTTCCTTCATCATTTATTTTATTTTTTTTGAGATAGAGTTTCGCTCTTATTGCCTGGGCTAGAGTGCAATGGCGTGATCTCAGCTCACTGCAACCTCCGCTTCCTGGGTTCAAACAATTCTCCTGCCTCAGCCTCCTGAGTAGCTGGGATTATAGGCATGTGCCACCATGCCCGGCTAATTTTGTATTTTCAGTAGAGACAGTGTTTCTCCATGTTGGTCAGGCTGGTCTCGAACTCCCGACCTCAGGTGATCCACCCATCTCGGCCTCCCAAAGTGCTGGGATTACAGGCATGAGCCACCGCACCCGGCCCTTTCATTGTCTTTTTCGTACTTGATGTACACTTAATTCATTCTTTTCAACACAGTTTTAATAACACTTCTTTCCTCTAAATGCCAGCTTTTCTGCTTACAACAGAGCTGCAAAGATTAACAGGACAATTTTAATCCTCTTGAGGCTTGAACTCCTGGGAGTTCATTCTCAAGATATTCCTGCTCCTTTTTTGGGGGGACTGGATACCATGCCCCGCTTAAGTCATCTCGCAGACTCAGGCCATCTTGTAGCCCGGATAGAAAATTCCAATTATGCTTTCTGCACTGAAAGTACTGCATTGTAAAAGGTCTCATGCTGGCAAGTGAAGCTTCCATGACGTACGATTAATTACTTTACTATTCCTTGTCATCATAGTTCGAATACGTCACCATGTTTCAGGCACCAGGAATCAATTATTCTGGGAGTCTCACAGTGTGTGGAAAGAAGTATTAGGGCAAGCAGAAGATTGCTATGCATTTTGCATGTGGGTTTATATATGATACCTTATTGATTACTCTAATAATGATTCCTACTCAATGTTAATCCCATAGTTTGAAGGAACAATGATCTATAAATTCCAGTTGAGCATGCTGGTCATCTAGAGCTCAGATGGTCTTGTCTCCAGTAATTTACAAAATTACTTACAGCTTTAGGTCTAAGTTTAGGATACTACACGCCAAATTCTAGGCCGAATTGAAGTTCTTCAAAGTAGTAGCAGTCCCTAAACTATGTATACTTAAGAAATGTCAACCAATCTTTAGATGTTAAATCTGGCTTCTTGAGCTATTTGTCCAATGTTCCTTAGAAGCCCTATTTAACACTAAATGGCTGGAAAGATCAGCAATTTGTTCAGATTGGATGCCAGCCAGTCTGCAAGCATTGAGGAAGTGCTCAGCAGAAACAGCCGTGCTGCGATACAGATGAGAAGAATGAATGGCAGTGGGATGCCCAGATAGCACCTGTTTATCAGCCTACGTTGGAGGTGACAGACAAGACAGCGGAGCAGAAGACAACCTTTGATTAATGGTAACAATAATGGCAGAAAGACTAGCCTGTAAACTGTACACACAGACACTGTAGTTTTGTTTTGTTTTTGTTTTTGTTTTTTTCTTGTGAGAAGGCTTCATGTTGCTCTCAGATACAGTTGCAAATAATAGATTTTCATCTACACCATTACACCAAAGGGTTCTGTTAAAATAACCCTTTCTGTTTATAAATGGAAATAAACTTAATCTACAACTTTTACCAGATTTTGATGAGAAGGGTTTGACTTTTAACACCAGAACCACATGGCCTTTATGCCTCATAACATTTTCTCTGCTGATGTATTTAAGTTATTGTTCTCTTCCCCTTTGTTCTGAGAATGTGCTCATTGGTAACCATCTGAATCCTAATTCAGCTTCCTAGGTCCTTTGATATAGAAAGTGGGTGTCTTAAATAGTATCAGAATATTCCCTATTATGTACTGTGAGATAGACTTAAGGGATCATCATCTCAGTAAACACTAATAATGATGATAAATATGATTTTTTCTGGATCCACAATGCTGAGACAGGCCCCAGCTCTAAACTGAGATGATCCCTTTAAAGTAGCATCACCCTATGAAACCTTCTGTGTGACTGACTGACCTCTCTCTAAAAGAACTCTGCATCATCCCTCTATAACTACAACCCCGGGCCACTATAATTATCAAGCAGATTTAGCATTTAATTATTTTCCTATTTAATAATGAGGCAGCTGCTATACTTTCTCTGAACTTTTAATAGATCATAGTACTTTGCTGTTAATCTTGTCTGTTTCAATGATTTCTATTACAGAGCACAGAATGAGGACACATT